CTTACAGCAGGACAATGACCCAAAGCAGACTTCACAAAGCACCAGAAATGGTTTCAGACAATGTGCTGTAGAGTTCTGAAGTGGTCAGCAATGAGTCTAGATCTAAATCTCATAGATCACCTGTGGAGAGATCTCAGAACAGCAGCTGGGAGAAGGAAGCCTTCAAATCTGAGAGACCTGGAGCAGCTGGCAAAAGAAGAGTGGTCCAAAATTCAAGTAGAGAGGAGGAAGAAACTCACTGATGGTTACAGGAAGTGACTGATTTCAGTTATTTTGTCCAAAGGGTGGGCTACCGAATATTAAGTTGATGGTGTCAGTAATTCTGTCCAGTCCATGTTTGGAGTTCTGTGTGGAATGGATCAGATTTGTTGTTCCAATGCAAACAAAAGAAATAAACATGAGAATACCAAAGAATTATCTGACAAAAATGCAGGGGCACTAATATGTTTGGCCATCGCTGTAGCTCCAAAAATGAAAAACATTAAGCACAAAACACTGAGCTCAGTATTCCTTTTGCATGATAGGATATAAATGAAATTAGTGCTCATAAAACACATTTAACTTTAAAATAATCAGTGCAAATAAGTTGATTTCATATGAAGGGGCACAGATGGTCTGTTTGTTCCTGGTACCCTAGCAGTGGGGATATGCCATTACCCTGGGATCTGCCAGACACATTACCGCTGTTCCTCAGCAGTGCCAAGATGTCCCGGACAGCCGGGGAGCATGTGTTTGTGTGTGTGTGGTAGTGGTGGGTGGGTTTAAGGACAGGCTTGTGCTGCCATTCTGCTAAACGGTTGATGTGGGTGTGTCAGTAGGGGGAGTGTGTGGGCATGGCGAAAAGGAAGGGAGAGGGACGGTTAGGAGACAGAGGAACCCAAACAAAGACTGAGGAGTGTGAGGAGGACTACATGGCCAAAGAAGAAAACAGATTACTGCAGTAATCATGTTAAAGAAAGAAACTGAGTTCATGTGTTGACTTTAAATCCCTGTGTACTTGTGTTATGGGTAGTAATCACATTTCTCTTCTGCACCTTCATCCAAAAACAGCTTTAATATCATTATCAACTTTCTGTGTGCTATTGTGCAGAAGGCCGATACCCCTGCTAACTGGGTAGTTAGCAGGCAGAGGACAAAGACAAGAGAAAGTATGACAAAGTTCACATTGCTCTGTTGGACTGGCTGATACAAAGTACAGTGCAGAAATATCCCACATGCCAAAGATGTAATAAAGCTATAATAAATAGATAAATATTCTTATACTCCCTCTGTAAGTTAGGAGCTCCTCTCTCTCCCTCCTCTTCTCTTCTCTTCTCCTCCTCTTGCCTCATCCATTTTTCAGCAATCTGTGTTGCGCAGCGCCCAGAGCTGCTGGCCTTGATTAATAGTCAGGTGTCCCAGCTGTTTACCCCGTTCCCCATCCGCCCATCACACACTAACATGTGGGGACCTGCTTTTTACCCCCTCAGACAGACACACCATCAACACAGCACAGGTCAACTCAAGGCCAGGGCCTATAGAATGAGGAGCAGCAAGGGATGTTGTAGGCTGGAGAGTCACCTGTCCTGCTGGGATTCTCTGACAACCCACTTAGGCTTGAGTAATTCCTCTGTCAGCGTTACTGATGAGCCGGCCCACGGTCGCAGGGTAGGAGAATGGTCGAGTTCGTGCACAGTGCTCGCCAAAGCATTAGTCATGATGGGCTCTGCTGTGTGCACTCTCTGCATAATGTATAAGGTTTTGAGTGGGACTAATACAGGCTGTGTTCACAGAATAAGTGAATAAGGGAAGGCCCACTGTTTGTAGTGGAATGGGTGTGCAAGTACTGTACACTGATGAAGTTCAGCAGCTTCAAACATCTTGATGCAGAACAGAAATTCATTGAAACTCCTCCAAAGACACCCATACACAGAGTGTGTAACAGGAGAGCTAGTTAAAGGGCCAGGAGTCTTCACAGACATAGTTAGCATCAGAGTACAATCAGTCCCATTGCCCCCACTGCAAACTGTGAACTGAGGTGAGGCTTTACCATTTATCTACTTTAATCCTACCATATGGGATTTAGATTGGAAGCATGCTTCTCTTTAAACTAATTTCTCACAAAAAACACATTTTAGGTTTCCTTAAGACTTTAGCAAAAACAATGCCTTTCATGTTGGAAAAAAATGTTTAAAAAGCCTATTTGCAAAGGTTTATAAGCTGGCAGTCTTTTTGGCCTTGGTTCCTAGTTTTATTGGTGTGCTGCTGCCTTTTGGATTAAGGCCACCAGTAGTTGATGTGCACTAATGCACTAATTTTACCCATGCTGCTAGAAAACCTGTTACAAATGATTAGAAAACCCACCAAACAGTGCTCCACAACACCACCAGTGGTCAACATTTCTGCAGGGTACATTTAATTAAAGCTTTAACGCCATTAGATGTAGCCCGTGGGCAACCATTTCATTAAACCTTTGCAAAGCTCATTTTTGGGAGATTTTGATGTTTTTCCTGGTTTATTGTGATGTTTCTTGCGGCATTAGTGGGCAGTCAGACCAACAACAACCCTGCAAGTAAAACACACTTTTAGAAAAGTAGTTTTACAGATATTTCTGATATTTATAGCATGCATGGAATTGTTAATAAAATTTTTAAAAAAGCATGTTGTGTAATTACATGTGTAAGTTAAAATAACAGGAAAAACCTGTTGAATTAAAGTTCCCATTTTGAAAAAAAAATAAATAAATAGAGTTATAATTTCATAATAATTTTAGAAATATTTCCTGTTTCACAGGCTGAACTAGCAGACTGCCCAGCATGCATTGTGTTGAGATTTAAAACTCCTCAGTTATTCTTTTTTCCATTTCGAAGAACCTGTTCATGGCGGAAACGTACTGTGTCTGTAATACTCTACATATACAATTCAGTCTAGGTTGATATTTTTCATAATAACAAAGTTATGCAAACCATGATGAAGGTTAGCGTTGAAGTCACTGTCTACCCCTGTACATGTAGCATCTAAGAAAGCCACTAGAAACAGCCCTGCTGTCTTTGTATTGCTTTGGTACAAAATGGTTTCACTAGTTTAACTAAGTTCAGCCTGTCAAATGACTCCTGTGAAATTATAATGAATACTTGCTAATATTACTTTATACATTGTAAAATTTAAAGTGGCTTTGGAAATATACTTACACTTATGTTTTATAAAAGAAAAACCAATAAAAGTTCATAAAATAGCATTTAAATATACAAGACTTCATTTAAAATCTTAATTAAAAACTATATTTAAATAACAGGAAATGAATATTTTTCCTAATTTTCTGGTTGTGCCCAAGCATATTTTCTTTTTTTTTTGACAGTGCCTGTAAGATGTTCTACCATTCAGACAGTTTAATGTAATGCATCTTTAAATCTGAAGACTTCCACCTGTAAGTCCCCAGTGCTCCGTGGCAGTGGAGGCCACCGTGCCACTCTGGCATTGCTTTAGTCTGAACAACAGCACTCTGTATTTTCCAGCTGCTTACTGTACATAATGGCAGGTGACTGTCACATACGATTCACTTGTAAGCGCTGTCTGATCATCTGTGGTCAAAGACACCTTTCCAACACTGGTCAAATGACTGCACAGCTCATGTGCATTATCATGTGACTTCTTGGTGGCTGTTGTCTCTGCGTGCTTCTGCTGTTAGTATTTGGAGCTGTAGTGAAATGATGTACTGATCTTGTTATTGTGTTATTTCTAGGTGCCAGTAAAAGCAAGGGAAAACAGTGGCTCTTTGTTTTTAATGACCAAACCGTAGTCACATGGAATATTCAGTTTATTTTAAATTTAAAGACTATTTGAATATTCGAAAATCATTGTCCATCCCTAGTTAGAACCACAGTACATGTTGCACCTGCCTTAGGGATCACAAATCAACTGCAAACCACTCAACAATCGTCACATGCCCTTTGTCCTCTAATTTGTTAACAGTTACAGAACATTCATCTGTTTTGATTCTACATGTTACAAGAGAATTTGACATTGGAAAAGAAAGAAAGAAAGACATGGAGTGATGAAGCCAAACAAACAGGAACACGTTCGGAGTCACCGTTCCTGCAAGTGGCTTCTACCTCAGTGTCACATTTACAAATTCCCCAATGCACAGACCCCCAGCAACTCCCTCTGTTGCAAGCAATTTCACAGCCTGTCTGTCTTTTGGCTTGCCTCGCCAAAAATATATTAGCCAGCATTCACATGTGCACACACACAGGCACATTTATCACGTGCCTCTTAATTACATCTGCTCAGAGCCTGTGCAGAATGCTAAGTACTGTAGCTGTTGAGTTTTCAAAATTTCTAGACCTCTAACTGGTCATTAAAATTCTGTCGTTTGATCCTTCCTTTGACGCATCTCCTGTGCCATGTAGGAATCAGACGAGGAACATAAAAGCCACCAGCTTGACTTTAACTTTGACTTCAAATAAGTCGACTGAGAATTCATCATTTATGAAAGACGTGAGCTAACTGCTATTGACAAAATGTTCAAAGTAGAAGCAGTTAATTAAAGCAGCTGTTATGCTGAGGCATGCGTAATGAGAACGAATATTAACAAGGAGCCAGATGAAATTAACAATAAATGATTCCTAAAAGAAATAGTTTTAAATCCAATTATTAAACAATAATGATGAACAGAATTAGATAAACACACCCAATTCATTGGGTTAACGTTGTACTTTATTGAACAATTGTGGCTGAACTTTGATTAAAAATTCAATATTATTTGCTAGTTACCAATGTCTAAAAGAACAAGATAAATGAGTCACATGCATCACTTCACATCTGAACCATGACAGTGGAATCAACCTGCATTGCCAAGATGCCCCATGTGCCTTTAAGATTCACCTAAGGACTAGGATTTTCATCTTTATGTCATTAGAGCTGTCCATGCCTCAGTAATTCCACCGCTGTTGTCAGCAATATGTGCTTAGGATACACCTCAGATGTCGTTTGTGACTTTCATGCTTTCTGAGGTCGGATGTTGCTTTCATACACCCATTGTGATGCTATAAGAAAAGAGGAGCTGCTGGCTCTGGAAAGTCTTTTGGATGCACTTTTTAAACATTAAGCATATAGCCAAACATATATGGCTACAAGCTGCCAGAAACAGATACTAAAAAGCCAATCTCACTTTGATATGAAAGAGGAAAGAGTCAGCTGTTGGTTTTGTGTGAATGCTGACTCTCAGTCGGGCCAGCTGTTCATCCACGCCAACTTCCCTGTGCTCAGTATTCTGAATACAAACATTCTGCTTTGAGAGATATGACATTTAGTCTCAATCACTGGTAATGGGTGCATTAACATACAGTGGTACCATGCGCACACTCACATGCTAAACCCACAATACATATTTTGCTGTTGCCAGGAAACGGACTCTGGAGTTTACACCTGTCTGGCTTCGAGCTCCAGTGGAGAGACGAGTTGGAGTGGAGTGCTCACAGTCAAAGGTAAACTCTCTGCGTGGTTTAAATACTGTACATGCAAATGGCAACTCTAGGAAGAGGCAACATATAACAACACAGATATGTCATTATTAAACGAGAAAACTTTTATGCAGCTAAGAGGCTGAGGTGTATAGTAACAGTTAACCTGATTACCACTGTTTGTTTTTGCTCTGTTATGAATAATGATCAGTTAAATAATCAAATGTGACAGAAGAGAAAAGACAATGTAAGTCCAAATAACAAGATAGTGTTTAATTGCTCAAATGAAACAAGTAGCTGAATGTGATAAAAGCGCTAAACCCTTGCCGGTGGTCCTGTTTACTGACTGCAAATATAAATATCTAGTAAGTGTTGGAGTGTCGAGTGCTGCTGAAAAAGCACAGACACTTTTCTCTGGATAAACAGAGGTTAAAACATGCTCGTGCCCTCATTCGGGATGTAATTGTGACATATCGTGCTGCAGTTCAAAGCACACCGTCAGCTGAACCACAGAGCTCTCTGAGGCTATGCCCTTTTTTATTTCCTCAACCCATCAGGCATCAGCACATAAAACATTTCAAGCAGTAGAGATTTCATTAGTGGCATTAAATGAAGGAGTAACGACTTAACAAGCTTCTCTGATGACACCTAAGTTTGTTAGTTGACTATTACCATTGTAATGGTGAAGACCTATTAGTTGTTGTGTAAAGCAAATGGTGAGGTGTGTTAGAAGTGAGGAACTCAGACTGCAGCACTGGTGATGCAAATGTTAGGTTTGCATTAGTGGGATTACACAGAGGGCGTTATGAAGTGGTGATGCTAAAGGCAGAAGTTGCAGAGTAAGCAAATGTGCACCCTCTCCTCACTCTGCTTTATTTCCCTTCGTCCTCTCTCTGCTGCCATTGCTGTTTCCTCCCTCACCATCCAGAGAACGCAGACACATCAGCAGCCCAGTCCACCGAGCCCTTCCAGTTGCCAGGTCCGCCGCACAAACCCATAGTCACAGATGTGTCAAAGAACAGCGTCTCTCTGACCTGGCAACCCAATGCCCACGAGGGAGGAGCTGCTGTCACCTCCTACATCATTGAGGCCTTCAGGTGAGCTCTCAAGCCTATGCTGCATTAAAAGCAGGTGCAAAAGCATGAACAGACACAACTACCCCTGTTTTCACCTGATGTCCATACATCTTCAGAGCTGTCAGGGACAAATGAGATTTCTTTAGTCGGGGACCTTTCACTGCTCTACATGTTTGTTTGTTTGTTTTCTCAAATGTGTCACTTTTTTTTTTATTGAGCAGTTAGTCAAAGCTGTATACTTCTCATGTTCAATATCTTCAAATGCAGAATTACTGCACAAGTATTGCTCTTGTCAGAAGGGAAAACCTTACATTTTGGTACACTCGTACTCCTTCACTGAAGCTCATGGCTATTGAAATTTGTTCATGGTTTGCAGCTCTTTAAATTGAGCCAAGCGACCACGTTTGTCCATTATTTTTATACCTTCAGAAAGACAACTCTGTTAACAGAACAACCGCAAAGTAAAATGTACAATGAATGTAACACTTGGTTTTTACAGACCAGTTTGTTAAGGTACTGTAAGAAGCCATGACACAACATTGCTGCTCACACACATGTATAGATGGCACCATGAGAGACATGTCAAAGGACTCTGGTTCTTTCACGTCCTCTGTGGCTAATCGGTGACACTCGTGAACCTGAAGGCACCTCAGCAGAAACCATCAGGCACTGTCACCTGAGAGGAAGTCCACCTTGGGTTAATTATGGCAGCTTTAGCAGAGCAGGGTGGGAGTAGAAATTCAGATAGGGGAACAGTGTCCTTGAATTGGATAAAGTGGGGAACACCAGCAGTGCTTAATCAGATCCGGACATACACTGTTTCCCATGGCATCAACTGAGTGTTTCTGAGTAACGCACACTGATTCTTTGTAAAGCAGCTGGAGGGGACTGCTGGGATTTTTACAATAACAGCTCCTTGCCTGAGGTGTTACAGTTTGTTTGTATGAGCACAGGGAGGAGAAAGGGTTGGGGCTTAGGTGTGTGTGTGTGCATGCGTGTACATATGCAGCATGTATTAGTGTGTATTTAATTAAAAAAGGCAGACTTCAGGTGAGGCTGCATTCACTTCCCCTTTTTTGGGGCCACAGCCTTTTGTGTGAGTGTGTGAACTCCTTCTGAACATCTCCTCCACAAAGTTACCTTGAATCTGGCACAGGGCAGCTCACACTCAACGAGATGAGTATTCATGAGTCATTTTCCACTTTGCTCTAATTGTGCAGTTCAGCGCTGAAGCTACTTCACCACAAGGCCCAACAGTACCCTTGGGGAAAATCTAAAAGTGTCAAACAAATGGCTGGGAAGGCCTTTGTGACTGCTGCTCTGCCAAGGTGACAATAAATTCACAGAGAAAAAGGGAGACAGAAGGAAGAGGGAATGGGGTCGAGGGGTGGTGGGATGATGCATCTGGGGGAGAGCCACAAGGCCGAGAACATGCCCTCATTTCCCGTTGGCAGCTGTGGCTCTGCGCAAGCCTCATTACGTTATTCATCAGAACAGCAAATTGTATCGTTTGGAGGAAGTCTTCTAGCGAACACAAACTTCTCTGGACCATGTGGCTCTGCTCACATCTGCTATTGTTTACCACATAAGCAATATTAGAGGAAGCCAAAAATAAATCACGATATTGCCAGAAAATCTACTCAGGCATTGGTTAACTGTGTAGTTGCACATGAAATCAGCATTGCAAAGCAGTATGAAACACACAGCCTTTAGAATGCCATCTTTCAGTGGTGAAATGTAACCAAATACTGGAAATAGGTACAAACAGGTGCTTTACTGTTTTCTTTTCACTTTAACTCGGAGAAAGGAGGAACACTTTTACAGTTATGGTCGGTGTGGGGTTCCTCCAGTGCATCAGGCAGCAAGTGATCTCCATAATGGATTTCACTTGCCATTTCTGTAGTGGTATGATCATTATGTTTTTTACACTAGCCCGACACCCAACTCCGCTGCAGTGGCCGGGCAGCAAACGTGGGTCAGCTGCTTAGGAAGCAGCCGTGCTCACCAGTGCTCCCCACTACACCACCAATGGGGCCGTTTGACATTTGTAGCTAGTTAATTAGTCAGTGAGTTGACTGACAGGAAATCGGTTACTGTTTTAATGGTTTAAGTAGTTTTATGTTTAATACTGAAGTTACAGTTTTCAAACATGAGGATTTGCTGCTTTTTTCTAGTCATTATTTTAATAATTTCTTTTTTGTGAAGGTTTCACTTTGAACTCTGGGTAATCATGATGGGCTCACTGTTTCCTGCCAATCAATAATTTGAGAAAATAATAACCAGATTGATCCATAATGAACTGAACATAATAATCATTAGTGCAGCCTTATATTAAATAGTTAAAATTAGCCCCACCTTCACCAAATACACCAGCCAAATTCTACTTGCACATTAATGCACAAGCAGTAATTAGTACACTGAAGTAATCCTTACCTATTGTCACTTCAGTAACTTAAGGACATTGTGTTACTTTACCATGAATATATTGACTCAACATCAATTTTTTTCTTGTGCCTCTTCACAGCCAATCAGCAGGCAGCACCTGGCAGACCGTAGCCGACACGGTCAAGATGGAAACACACACAATCAGCGGCCTTCTCCCCAATACCATCTACCTGTTTATTGTCCGAGCCGTCAACGCCTACGGCCTGAGCGACCCGAGCCCCATCTCTGAGCCTGTCCGAACACAAGGTTAGTCTGGCTCCCTGTCACACCCAATAAAATACGACTCTCATCTGAAACAGTGAAAACCACTACAGTATGTGCCAGTACACTGGCAGCAGCGCTCTAAGGAGAAGTGACTCTGTGTGCTCCCCTCAGATGTGAGTCCTACAGGTCAGGGGGTGGACCACAGGCAGGTGCAGAGGGAGCTGGGAGAGGTGGCCGTCCAGCTTCAAGAGCCTGTCGCACTAACTGCAGCTTCTGTTCAAGTACCTTGGACTGTGAGTGGCACATATCTTTGAATTTATCTGTGACTCTCCTCTTACTTTGATTTCTCATCTTCCCCTGATGCCAATCTGAATTTTTTAAGGTGGACCGACAGTCTCAGTACATCCAGGGCTACCGTCTCTTCTACCGACCCAGCGGGGGAACCTGGCTCCTTCAGGACATCAACTCCTCCTCTGAACGCAGCACCGTCCTCACCAGCCTGCTCAAAGGAACTGAGTACGAGCTAAAGATCCGTCCTTATTTTGATGAATTCCAGGGAAAGGACAGCCGAACATTACTGGTTCGAACCCCAGAAGAAGGTAATAAATCTGTTTCTGAGGGGAATTCAAAGAAATCTTCTTAATAAACTAGGTTTTCTTTGACATTGGCCTTGAAAATGGCTGATGAGTAGCCTCTATGACACCATGTAAATCTTTTTAATGTTATCTCATTTTGGGATTCTTTTTCTATGTTTCTTAAATTTGAGTTAATTTAAAATGATCCCTATTTTCATTAAAGCTTGAGGTCCTCAGCTGTTTGCTTCATCCAGACTCTGGATTAGAAACAAAAAAGCAGATGATTTTTCTTGCCATCAGCACTTTGGATCAACCTGCCTGAGTAGTTAGTTTACTGTGGCAAACAAACAGAAACTTTTAAAAGCACTTCCTAAATCTTTCTTTCCCCTCCTGCCACAGCTCACCTTCATGTTTCTCATGTTTTATTTGTCATCACCTTTATTGCCTGGAGCAATTTGGTTTATGCAGTTTAAATTGTTTTTACTCACATGTTCAGTTTTATGCCTTTCATTTCATTGTGCATCAGTATGTTGATGAAATGAATACTGTCCTCCGCCCTCCTCTCACAGTCCCCAGTGCCCCCCCCAGAGCTGTTACAGTGGCAACAGTGAAGCTAAGCAACAGCTCCAGCATCAGTGTCTCCTGGGAGCCTCCACCCAGCGAGATGCAGAATGGCATCATCCAGGAGTACAGGGTAAACACAGCTCAGCTGAGTCACTTGTTTGGCACGTGAGCAGGATAAAGTTGCTGGAGAACACAGGCCTGTATACAGCAGACATGGCACCCTCATCTCACACAGAACATGTACCATACATAATGTATACAATGGTAAAACTAATGAGATTCCCTTCATTAAAACAATGTTGGAAGAGGGGAGCAGAGGAATACTGGAAGTCTCTGACTCTGCTGTCATGGCTTTGGAACAGATTAAGTATTGCAGCCTATAGTGAGTTTCATCAGTGAATAAAAATGTAAACACAAACTGAGCGGTGTAGCAGTATCTGAAGTGTCACAACAACACATGAGAGAGAGAAAGCAGCTGCAGAACAAATTCAGCACCAACTCTGTGTCCAAACAGGTCTGGTGTGTGGGCAGCAGTGGAGACAACCAGACACGCTACTACATCAACAAGACGGTGGATGGAAACACGTTGTCCACGGTGCTGAAAGGCCTGATGCCCAGTGTGCTCTACAAGGTGGAGGTGGCGGCGGTGACCAGCGCCGGCGTCGGCACTCGAAGCCAACCGGTGTCGGTCTTCTACAGTGAGTCCATGATGAAAAAAGCAGCTGTGGAAATAAGAGCGGGCCAAAACTGTAGTTAGAAGAGAACAATTAGTTCATTTAGAAATCATGTTTGCATGGTTATTTATTCATTTTAGATTTTATGCCATCGTCTAGACTAAAAATATGTCAACTTGTAGATGGACTCATAGAATACTGTGCACACATTTATAGTGAGCAGAAGATGAAGTCAGCTGACTTTGTTGATCCCCGACTTTTCCTTTGCACCACCATAAGGCCGACATTATTCCTGTAAATCATCAACATTGTTATTTGGAGCATGTTGCCATGCTGACTCCAGCATTTAGCTCTAAGCACCAATGAACCTATGTACTGTAAACGTTCTTGTTTTCCCTGCCTTTGCTCAAGTCTTTAGGCTCCATCTTATAATATAGATTACTGTCACTGTATATGTTGGGATTCTATTGATTGCTCAGACTGGCTTTGAAAACACTAAAGCTATTCAGTATGAAACTGTTTAAACATCAGTCCAACAAAGGACATGGTTAAATGATGTTCTCCATCAGTTCTTCCTTCTCATCTTTTGCTTCCCTTCCCTCTGTTTCCCCCAGAGCTGCCAGCTGAACAGCCCTCCATGCCAGGCAGTGGAGGCACTGGAGGCAGTGGAGGCGGTGGAGGTGCCGGCAGCGGCAGCGGGGAGAGCAACCTAAGTCTGGCCGAGCAGATTACCGACGTGGTCAAGCAGCCAGCATTCATCGCAGGCATTGGCGGAGCCTGCTGGGTCATCCTCATGGGCTTCAGTGTCTGGATCTACTTTAGGCGCAAGAAAAGGAAGGAGCTGAGCCACTACACCGCCTCCTTCGCCTACACACCAGCAGGTCAGGAAGAGTGATTACAGTGTGGAATGATAGATTGTAACTGACCCAAGGCTTTGTGTAGCCTGCTGTAGTCTGATGATACTCTGCACTTACGATGGAAGTCGTAAAGTGGATTATTTAAATAGTTTTTCATTTATTAAATGAACAATGAACATTATAGTGAAAGTGAATCCCTCAGTGGTAAAGTTGGCCTTGAATACTTGTAATACCAGTAGATTTCATTTTGTGACATCATAAGCTCCTATTGTATGCTACAGTGGATCTGATTACTGCAGCAGTCCTTGCATTTGGAGATCTGTTATTTGACTACGAGTTCTATCCAGTGAGGAGAACGGAAAAAATTCCTGCGACAAGGAGAGAACAGCTGACTATGGATAATATAGGCACTGTTTTGACTCAACAAAAAGACACTATTAAAGCTGAGTACAGTAGTTCATGAAATGCAGTGTGCATGAGTCAGTTTACCCCTCCTCATCTCGCCTTCTCTTTGTTTCATGCAGTTGGTTTTCCTCATGGAGAAGGATCAGGACTCAGTGGAAGGTAATTTGATTATTGGTATTTGTCTGTATTCTGTCTTCTCTTTAAATCAGCTGTCATCAGTAAATCAGATTGATAATTGTCAGTCTTTCTCACTGCATAGGCATGCACCTTCTTCTTTGCTCTTCTTTGTTTCTTCTCTGTTTGAAGAGTTGGTGCTGTACTGCATCCCATTATATCTTAAATTAATGCCAGAATGTCTCTGCAGGCCCGGTGTGCTGGGAGGCAACATGGGCAACTACCCGTGGCTGGCGGACTCTTGGCCCACCACCAACTTGGTCCACAGCGGTAAAGAGGCAGTCAGCTGCTGCAGCACCAGTCACGACACAGCTGAGAGATACTACAATGGTAGGGAGCTGCTTAGACAGAACAGTTTGATTATTGTGTAGCTGTGCTGATATTAGGTTGATGCATCATGGAGCACAGTGATAAATGGTATAAGATCAGTATAAGAAAAGGGAGCTAACAGGTTCCTAACAAAGCAAGACAGCTGCGCTACATCTAGCCTCCATCTCTGTGCAGACGCTGGTATCTCCAACTACCTGAATCAGACGGAGAAGTACAGCATGGGGGGCTCCACTGAAGGTCCCATCTACAGCACAATAGATGCCACCAGCGAAGACCTACACAGCTTCACCTACACCCAACACGCCTCCACCGCCCCCTATGCCTCCACCTCCATCATGCCCTTCACCAGCCAAACGCAGGCGCCAGCCCACGGCAGTGAGCAGCAGGATGACGGACACTGGATCACCCAGCCGGGGCCCTCTGGGGCTCAGTACGCCCAGCCAGACCGCTGCAACGGTGAGGACGACCCATTAACCATGAACCGCTTCAGATCATTTTGTTGCAGGTCCCCAGAAGAACCAGCTCAGCAGGTGTTTAGGTGCAGTGCTGCTTCTCATCACACACTGCCGGTTGAAACCCGACTCTCAGACTGGGAAAATTCACCTTTTAGGTTTCAGGTTTTCTGACTGCATGAATTCACATAATCTGCTTTTCTTATTTAATGGTTTCTGCAGTATTTTTACATTTATCTATAATGATTAGTCAATTAATTGATTCATTGACTGACAGTTATTGCTATTTTTCAAGATATAACCAAATGACATTCCCCTGAGTCCTGATCCTGCCCGCTGAGCTGCTAACAAATCGTAACAGACAGTTAAGCTAACTGGCTCTGATGAACATCAAAACCAAGTATTTAAATACTGCTACCCAACAGTATGTAAATACTTGAAATTATAAGTATATAAGGTTGTTAAAGGTTGTGATGGCGGTGCGTATGCATGCAGCATCCCGGGGCCCTGAGCTCCAAACAAAATTTAGTTGTACGTGTCACAATGTTACAATGACAGTAAAATAAAGCTGCTTCTTCTTCTTCTTCTTCTTAAAGTTAGCTCCACCTTTACCAGCTGCAGCATCAAATGTAATGAGCACAACAATGCATTATAATAATATAAACGTGCCAGTCTGCATAATGAGTGCTTCTACTTTTGGTACTTTAGATTTTGATGCAAATATTCTTGTGCTTTTACTTAAGAAATATTTTGAATGCAGGACTTTTACTTAGAGTATTTTTACACTATGGTAATGTTACAGTTACTTTTACCTCAGTAAACAATCTGAGTACTTCTTCCACTGCTGGTTTTGGTAGCTACATGTGTGTTATAAAGGGAAACGAGGTCTTTTCTTTGTCTCACCAGTTTGACTGAAGTGCTGTAGTGTGTGTTAATACTTTCTCTGCTCCATTAACATCAGTCTGTTGGTGATGGGCTACAAAGTATTCACACAGTGCTCCACCCTTGTCTTTCAAAACTCATTATCACATCATTAACACACGCTGAAATTATTTCCTTTTCTGAAGAACTAACATTACAACCATAAATGTACAACCGAACTCTTGTGTGTGTGCGCTGCCTGCTGTCTGTGTACTACACTGGCTTCGTGGTTGAGTTCCGCCTTTTTTGATCCATCAACATTATTACAAAAATTGATTTGTAAAAGATATGAATATAGATTGTAATGTGACTCCATTTTTTTCTCATGCAACTAATAATAATAAAGTAATAAAGTACTTTAATAAAGTAAAATGCGTTACCATAGTCTAAGACCATTAGAAATGTCAATTCAACAAGATATTTTCATGCTGAAAAGGGGAAACATTTTTTAAATTTGAAGTAAAAACCAATTTTAGGTTTCAGTTTCTTTACAAGAGTATCAGTATCAGATGCTTTGTCATCCAGCCAGATTCCAAGATATCTGTATGCAGAGACTTTCTCCAGTTCAATTCCTTCCAAGGTCTTGAGACCCCGGCTCACTTGTACAGAATGCTTATGTTTTCATATATTTTATTTTATCAGCATTTAGAGAGTTTTAATAGGTAAAATGATAATTGAAGCTTATAAAATGCTGTTTGAAGGTCTGCAATAGCTTGGTTTATTGCTGGGGCAAATGTATACACACAGTAACTGTGTTGTCTGCATACAAATGTATTTTTGCTGGCTATAGGTCATGTCCAGTAATATTTATAAAAACAGAGGACCATAGTTGCCGGGATAGAGCTTTGTGGAATAGTCCTTGTAATCCCAAGGACTTCAGATGTATAGTTATCTACATTAACGCACTGGGTTCTGTCTGAGAGATCATCTCTAAACCAACCTTTTACATTTCCAAGTCAATTTGATTTAACCTTTGCAACAAAATGTGATGATCTACAGGATCGAAAGCCTTAGATAAATCAACCTGATCTGAAACCTGACTGAACATCATCATATTATATTTAGTCAGAAACTGCTTATTTTGTAAGTTAATGATTCAGGAGCTTCAGCCAAAACAAATAATTCTGAAATAAAAAGATAACTGCTCATCTCTGATGGAGCACCACCCAGGCAACAAAATCTATGTCCTGGGTTCCTAATACAGTGTTATTTCATTCAGAAGCAATTCAAATCAAATCAAATTTTATTTGTATAGCGCCAAATCACAACAAAAGTCATCTCAGGACACTTTACAAACTAAGGTCTAGACCTTACTGTTATCAATATTATTACATAGGGAAAACCCAACAAATCCCCCTTGAGCAAGCACTTGGCGACAGTGGGGAGGAAAAACTCCCTTTAACGGAAGAAACCTCCGACAGACCCCGGCTCTTGGTGGGCGGCCTTCTGCCTCGACCGGTTGGGGTGAGTGGATAGAGGAGAGACAAAAGAAGAAAAGCAACAAGACACAACAATCAAACACTGATCAGGTCGATGTGGCCGGTGACTGCTCGTCAGAGATATAGAGCTCCAGGGCAACCTGCAGAAAGTTACAGGGAGAGAGAGAGAGGACACACTACGGGAGAGAGGAGACACAAAGTTAGTAATGTGTAATGGTGGCATACAGAAGCATAGAAAGAGAGGGGAGGGGAGGGGAGAGGAGAGGAGAATCATGGGGCCCCCCAGCAACCTAGGCCTATAGCAGCATAACTAAGGGAAGGCTCAGGGTCTTATCTAGTTTCTAAACTAGCCGACCTATGGTATCAAATGAAATTTGGTAGTTTGCAAGAACTTCTGCAACACAAGTGCTTAAGTGGTGCAAGCGTATGTTGTCACTCAAAAATTCAGATGAAACTAGAAAATAGTGAGTTTAATTCCTAAACAATCTGGAAGCCAGTACAGAAAACAGTAAATGAGTACGGTTTACTGTAGAGGCGGGAAACAGCAGTCCGTCAAAGGTTCCCAGGTTCAATTGAAATAACGTAGTAGTTAAATGCTTCAATAGTGGAGTTCAAAACTTGAGTTCAACATTTCCCATCTTTAAAGATTCACAGGTGCTGTAGATTCAGAAACAGATTGAATTAATCTCCAGAAGTGTTTGGGATTGTTTAGATTTCCAGTAAAGTTATTAAGAAAATATTTTGATGTCTCTTTTCATATTTCTGAGCGCTCTAACATGGATCCAACCTGTTACTGACTTTGACCTTCTAGCTTTGTTCCAACAGCGTCTCTCTGATGGAGCAAGGTTGAGATGTCATCTGAAAACCAGGGGTTTTTTCTTTCTTTAATTAAAATTTTTATATGGAGCATGTTTAACACGTTGATTTGTAAAGGTTGAGTGAAAAAAAACCCAGGTTTCATCATGATCTGAAAATAAACTTTAGTCTGTGTGGTAGATTTACCTTTTTAGTAATGTAATGTAATGTGGTTTGGCTTTAGGGATTGTGGAGCTCTTTCTCCAAGTTATTGCACAGTGATTCAGCTCTTGAGAAACATAATCATAGACTGAGGACACTGTGACCAAAGTTTTTTAAATCAGTTTTTGGTGAATCTAGTGAATGGAGAAAGTAATTGCAGAGTATGCAATGCAAAAAATTATCAGTAGCTGCAGACCTTGATTTAACAATTATTTTTTCTTATCTAGTTGGATTTCTTACCTGTCTACAGAAGCACTTTGGGTGAACATTTTATGTTTTTAAATGTACTCTATAAATAAATAATCTCCTTTTGCCCCACTGTCATAGCCATATCCATAACTTTGTGCCATAGGCCTACTGGGATATGAGTCACTGTGTTTTTCTCTTTGTCTGTTTTATAGGTAAGCCCAAGCAGAAGGCGATGGGTAAGGCTGTCAAGACCCCATCTCTGACCTGGATGGAGGCACTGCCCCCACCTCCCCCCATTGGAGAGCTGGAACAGTGTGAGCAGGATGAGCAGCCCCCAGAGCACGAGGACATGGACTTAGGGTGAGTCAGACTCCCAATGCTCCTCTGTCTCAAACACGCATCTCTATATAATGGTGTTACACAGCTACATCACCACTTAGGCTTACTGTCACCACTAACAGGCACATTAAGCATCAAACCCAAAGTGGTTTGTACACCTCTGGATTTAACAACTCAATTATCTCGGCCTTGGTCAGTCACCTTAGTGATTCAGCTGTGTTTTCAGCCCTTAAAATACAATTAGCTGTGTTCCACCTTACCAGTTGCTCTCTGCAGCCTCAGTGGAAAACTATCATTGAGTATCACGAACGTAGCACCAATCCCACCCAAATGGAAACTTGGCTTCCTTCAGTGTTGCCAACAGCAAGACATTCTAACTGAAAGAACAGCATTAATCTTTAACTAGGCTCATAGCTAGCTGCATTTAAAGGCCCCAATGAGCAAACACGCTGCCCTCAACAATATCTTGTAAGAACACCAATGGATCCAGCTACATCTGTAGCTGTACCTTTTTCTTTGTGTATAGCTCGGACGAAGAGTGGTGTCCTCCCCTCCCAGAGAGGACCTATCTGATGGAGGGCTGCGAGGACGGACCCTCTCCCCCGCAGAGGAACGGCACCTCCTCTCCAGCCACCTCCTACAGTCACCAGTCAACTGCCACCCTCACCCCATCGCCCCATGAGGAGACCCGAGTCCCACATGACCTTCCCCGCCTCAACCAGCAAGATGGTCATCACCTGTCACGGTCAGTGAACGGGCTTGACATAGACTGGCACTTAATGGTAGTGCTTGAATACACTGTTTGGTCATTCTAGCAAATGCACCATTATTAATACACTAACTAATAACCCTGAACACCAGCCTTGCATCTACTGTTCATGTTTACTGAATGCAGGCCTCCACTCTGCTTTGTTCAAGGCAGGTTATTGCCCATTAGATTTTATTGTGCACTGTTTACTGCTGGGTTACCAGAAGGACAGTGGCCATTACACTGAATTAATATAACACATAAATAAAGTTAGTGTTACTGATTCAGATCAACCTGTTTAACACGGAGAAATCCACGTGCAGCAGTAGAGAATCAGTTTCAACAGCTACTCCCTGTTCCTTTTTTAAGCATTTGTTCAAAAGACGTAGCAAAACATCTGACCTTAAAGCACCAGTAGCTTATGTTAGCAAATACTGATACATAGTGTATTTACTTTATTCATTCATTTTGATACTGTAGCTGTGAATTTTCACTCCGGCACAATCATTTCTTCAGGACGAACTGCCTCACTGCATTTAATTTATTTAGTTATTCGGTTTCATTTTCACAGCAGCCAAGTAGTTTGCACTGATCCACATGCACCACTGTTAGAGAAATGGCTAATCTCATCACCAGATGTTCGATTATGCATTTCAATAAAGGAAACGCCATGTAAAATCATAACTGGAGAGTGCAGGCAAACAGTTCCAGCACCAACCAGAGAGGAAAATATAGCACACAATCTGTATTTTTGTCTGCAACATAAACCTCACTCTAAACCACAGATTTGGCCTTTGCTTCCGCTGGTTTGTTCTCCCCAGTGACATGTTGCCCTTACTTCCCATAGCAGAAGGTTACCCTGCGGACCTGTGCCAGTTCCCCAGGCGCCAAGCCCAGCGCTCACCCTGTCCAACCCCAACCTTTCAGGCCAACAGCATCACGGCTCATCAGAGGTTGGCACGTTGGAGTGCCAGAGTCCTGCCCATCGCTGCCTCCACAGCCAGGGGCCAGTGCTGACTGAAGCCAATGGCAGCACGACTACACCCGGTAGCGACTGCTGCGTTCATGCATACAAGCGTGCATGTGACACAGGGACACACATGCACATTAGCTAACAATATCATGCAAGCTGAACATACACGTGTGCTTTCTGCTGCCCTTCTGTCATTTACATAGCCCAGTGTCTGTTCAGTGTGGAGAAAAACACTTTGATGGTTATGGTTTTTCTTTCTCTGATGCAGTGCACAGTCGCTCATCCCCAGCAGATGCATGCACTCCACCCAGCCAAAAATCACGAGTGAAAAAAAAGGTGTCTAAGAGTACAGCATACCGGAGAGACAAACAAGGAGGTGAGTTCACTTCAGGGACAGAAGGACCTTTACATTTTTCATCATTGACATTTTCTTTAAATATTATGTGACATCAGTGAACAGTTCATCAGTAGAAGAAAGCTATTATTTTGTGTGAATGACAACAGTACTGTGAAGGAAAGTCATCAAATGTTCTCAGTAACTGAATCTGCTGCAAAAGAGAAAATCTTGTCCACAGTTTTTCTCTGTCACTACTGTATGTCTTGCTTTTTGTCAGTGAGTGAATAAAGATGCATAATAGTCTATCACATACAGAGAGATATTTTGCAGCCCCATCTGTGAGTGAGCATTTACAGCTCAGACTGGAAGGTGAGAAGTGAGGCTAGAGCTGCTGAATCTAGACAGGAATTTGCCTGAGTTTTAGCAGCACGTGCCATATGTTTACCAGATAACCATCTCACACCAGACTGGAAACCATTATCCAGAGTCCCACAGCATTTTGAACCCAGTATCCTCGAAGCCAATAAATCATCACATGGCTGCACGTGAATCAAAATTGCATGTTAACAATCGGCAATTCAGAAAGTTTGTGTTTTAATTTAGATGTACCTTTGTGTTTTGAAAGAAAGCACTACTGTGACTACCTCTATCATTTTTAACTCAGACAATCTTCACGTATGTTTTCTCTTTGCTTCTGTCTACAGACCTGCCACCACCTCCGGAGCCGCCCCCAGAGGAGGACAGGTTGCACGGTCCCCAGAGGTGCGTGGAGGCCAACAGTGTGGCGAACGGTCCTCTGTCTTCCCTGGAAAGGAGCGAGTACAGCAGCAGTAGCCACCAGCGGAAAGGCTCAGGGCCCAAACCTGCCGACAGTAAGACTAAGTTCTGCAGAGCATTTCAGTCATTTAGTTTAAGGCTGGCAGAATCTAATTTAGAACAGCGAGTGTTCTGAAATAGTTATATTTGTATTTCAGTGAAACAGAGTAAAATAGAGTTGTGTACTACTGTAACCACAGTAATCAGTAGCCTAGTCCACGTTTCTGCTGTGTCATGCTTGTGTGCTGCACTGCAGTACTTCCTCCTCCTGTGTTACAATGAGAGTGCCTTTGACTGAGTGCCAGATTATTTCTTGTAACACTGCAACATGCAGCTGTAACAAGTGCACACATCACAAGTTAGTAGCCTAATGAAAACACCAGGTGTGGTTTAGAAAATCCAGAAACTAGAAATCAAACAACACTCTGCCTTCCTGTAGCAAAAAAGTACAACTTGGTAAAGTTTGGCCATATGTTTGCATTCACTTCCTTGTATTTACAGAGCAAATACAACAACTACCTTTCTTAATCCATAACTGAAGAAGGGCAAATATGAATTTAGTGACTATACTGTACATTTCAACAACCAAGTGCTTGGACTTGTTACTTTGTCTTTTGACCTCCTGTCAACACCTGAAGTGGAAATGGGATTATACTGGTAATGCTAATGATTAAATCAACCACATCTGAAACACTGAGCTGCTGCTGCAGTATAAAGCTAGTTAAAGCTGAACATAATTCTGCACCAAAGTCCTTTTTAATCAGGTAACAGAGGCGTTGTCAGGCCATGTGGCGTCCTTGGATTTACCCAGGATAACTGTGTGTTTTGTACAAAAATATCATGGTTACTTTTCCGCACAAAAACTACAAACCTTGTTAGGTTTTGGCACTATATTGTCCTATTTAGTTTTAGGGATAAGACCATGTCTTGTGTTAAAACACTCAGCAGTTAAAGCTGTGTCACGTGACAGAGTTGAACTCTGCTCATTGTTTGACCTGTCCATCTGCCCCAGTCACATCCTCATGGAGTTTTGGCCATTATATACTTGAAATCCCTGTGAATCTCCCACAAATACAAAGGACGCACTTGAGCATCTTTATGCGATGCAGAAAGGTACCTGGCAAAATGTCAGTCTGTGTGAACCTTCAGGACCATGACTTTTTATTTGTTTTTGCATATACAGCCAGCACTAGCAACCAGTAGCTGAGAGACTTAACGCGAGTCTTTAAAGGGTGCAGGCTGCACAAGGCCAACAGGCGTGCCTTAGCCTGGATTTTTCCAGCAGATACATGTCTAATATAAACCGTCATTTTCCCAGTAAGACACTGTGCTTGCTGCCTTTAAAACAGCAGGTTAAGGGCCCTGAGTATAACCCCGTCTTCTTGCCTTTCCCCTCACCTGCTCAGATGAGGAGATGCTGCTGTACGGCAGTAAGGCGGGCTACCTCTCCAGGAGTCAGATGTCCGGTAACTGTTCGACCACAGGAAGCTCCTCATCCAGGGGGTCCACAGGCTCCCGGGGGCTCAACTCCGCCAGGAAACATAACGAGGTAGAAACACCAACACTGATGATTTTAGAATTTCTGTGTGGTTTTATGTGAGAAAAAATGTTCTCAGTTCACCTCAAATGGTTTTAATAATTGATGCTTTCAGATTTTTATGAGCATGGGAAGAAAGACTGTTCCAGCCATGGAGAGGCTCATGTGGTTTGGTTTTATCCACATATCATTAGTTGCACTCCATGAACAGTACTACTGCATTCCCGTTTTCACCACACAGACGCACGCTCAGGCTCACACACACATCTACAGCACCATTACTGTCTGCTCAGGATAGGCTTTATACTAAGAAACCATGTTCAACATGCACACCCAGTGCTCCTTCTGGAGTGCACTTCTGAGGCCTCACTTCGCTGGGGGGGGGCACTCCTTTAGATGCACCCCCTGCAGACTCCCTGGCGATGAGCTGCTGTCCTTTATGGCAGAACAAGCTGTGCCAACTGAATGGAAAGCTCTGCAGGGATTCCATACCAGTGAGGCAACACTTGGAAACAGTTCTGACATGTCCCTCAGTATTACTGCAGGTAAACAGAGTTAGTACCTGATGGAAAATGAAGAAAGCTGCCTAAAGTCCGAATCATAACAAAAAGAAATGCGTAAACAGAGTTCTGAGTGCAGGAGAAGCTGTGCTGTGATGGAGAGAGACTGAACATCTAGTAGGATCCTTTCTCACAGAGGTCAAGTTCACACAGAAATACAATTCAAAAGGTGAATGGAAATGACAAATCGCTACCTTCACACCTTGATGTGAACGCTCACATTTAAGCTTTTACATGTTTCATTTCAGCTTTTCAAATTTTCTTTCCATTTCAGAATATTTGTAATATTTCAGTGTCCAAGTCCTTTTTCATTTTAACATTTTTTATGATTATACCAAAAAATAATAATATATCAAGTTCTCTTTTGATTTGATTATTTCTTACTTTGTTTACATCTTTGACTTAAACCTTTGCTACTACTTTACCTACTTAAAACAGCGGTACCACACTGAAGAAATACTCTAATGCAAGTCAGTATTCTACACTATAAATGATATTTAACTTCATGTACTTAAGTTTTATTGGAACATTTTACTTTAACAGTAAAATGCTCAATGCCAAAAAATGTTTATATAATGTTTGATAGTTTAATCTATGGCAATGCATCATTTTTAAATACCTTTTTAAAACCTTACCAGTAAGTATAGCTGCTAAATAGATGCAGTGGAGTAGAAGTAAAGAGTAATGTGCTTTCTTTAGTGCTGTACTTGTTAAGTTTAATGCTGTAAGGCTTCACCATAAAGCGACCAGTGCACAGAGAGAGAAAGGACGACCCTGTCACGGGTGAGTCCGCTCTGACCTCAGCACACATCTGACATGGCAACGTGGCAATGCGTCTTGTAAAAGTTACCCACACAGGCACAACTGTTCTCAGCACATGCACACACAGTGGTCCCTTGTGTCTTGTGCCTCTCAGGTCACCCCCCTGTGGTCCCCTGGCTGCCCCTCACCGACCCTTCCTGGCCTTTTCACACCTTGCCGGAGACGTGAAAGCACGACCTCCTTCACAATACAGTCTGGGGTGTTTCCCCAGGAAGCCTGGATTAGGTTCCCCCTCTTCCTGTGCTGTTGCTGGCCATTATCTTTGCCCTTTGACCCAGGCACTCAGCCTAGGATGGGCAGGGGGTTAGAAGACCCTCATTACAGATGAGGGACATCAATATATAACTACATGGGCTCAGGATGACTTTGGCTCACCTGTGTCAAGCACTACAATACATACAGTAGTTAAATCCATAAATGCTGCTTAAAACTGGGGCCTATTTCAAGAAGGCGGTTTAACAAACTCAGAGTTCAGGTTTGAACTCTGAGTTGACTTACCCAGAGTTGGAAAACTTGGAGTTTTCGGTTTCAGAACAGCTGAAAAGAGTTGGTTTAATCAACTCTGAGTTGTCTGACTCAGAGTTAGGCGCGTGCCACGCAACTATAAAAAGCCCTGAACAATGGAGTGAAGAAATTACGAGTCACCATGGCAACAGGACCAAGCCAAAATAGGTCTGCGTTTTTCCCTGACAGAAATGGATGTGCTACTACAAGCATATAGTGACTACGAGCCCATATTTCGTAAAAAAAAAA